AGCTAATACTTGAAAACATGAAAAAATTATAAGAATACTTGATAAATAATATAAATACTACAGGGACACGATATGATGTGGCCCGCCGGCGGGCCACGCGGTCGTCAGTGGGTTAAAATACTCCTCCACTTTTCCCCTTTACCTCTGCCTTGCCAACCAACACTCCTCCTATGCAATTCTTTCCTACCAGTTACTTTTTCATTTGACCTTCTCCTTAAGTTCATCAGAATTTTTTTTGCGCCTATACGGCTTCATAGCTTCAGTCATCGAACTCTTCTCAGGCCTACAAAGTCCACATTTTGTCTGCAGACGTCTGGAACGCTTAAATGATCCCCCATTAAGCATAGTGGAGCTACTGTTTGTGTTGGCAAAATCGATAGTAACAGCCATGTCGTTACTGATTTTGTGATCTCATCAGGGTAGGGACATCCGTGAGAAAAACCAACATTATTTACTCTGAGACCTTGAATTTCGAAATATTCACGAATCTTGCTCACCCACCCGCTTGCCCACGGAAATATCAAAATATAAAAAATATTTATTTCGTTATTTCCAGGTGGTTAGCCTCTTGAATGATCTCTACACAATCTTTGATGGTATAATCGATGCCCATGACGTTTACAAGGTGGGTGGTCCGCCACTTTTTTTTAAACATACCTAGGAATCTATACTGTTCATGTCACGTATTTATTTTTTCATTCGCGTATTTATTTATTTATTTAATGGCACGAAAGAACCGTTCATGTTCCTCTCTCTCCTTCGAATCGGTCTGAGTGCATTACCCTGTTCAGGTCGAAACGATTGGTGATGGCTACCTTTGTGTCAGTGGACTACCTCATAGGAATGGGAAGCAACACATCAAAGAGATCTGCAGCATGTCACTCGGATTCATAGACAGCCTCAAAAGCTTCAGAATACCTCATCTACCTCAACAGGGCGTTAATCTGAGAATTGGAATGCATACTGGTTAGTTCTCATTTCAATTCCGTAAATGATTGTGATGAAAGTAAATGATGCTGGGATCATTCTCTCCCGTGTTTGTGTATTACTAACTGGTAGTGAAATCTAGTGGGTAAAACCCATTTTTAGGTTCCGTAGTAACGGGAGTCGTAGGACTGACCATGCCTCGATACTGCCTTTTCGGAGATACGGTGAATACGGCGAGCAGAATGGAAAGCAACGGAAAACGTTGGTTAATTTTTGTTAGGATCTGATTCCTAGAACAACTCCATCACTTTTTTAGCTGGGAAGATTCATATGTCAGCCGAAGCGGTACGTCTTCTAATGGAAGTTGGTGGTTTTGAAGTTGAATCCAGAGGAGAAGTTATAATTAAGGTAATCAACCAAATAATATTTTTGACGAAAAATTATGCATCCGAACTCAAACGATCCACCGAACACAGTGGGTACATTGGTCCAGATAATCTTATTCGAAGGATTTGTAGCCTGAATTGATTTCTTGCTTGCCGATTCCGTGCTGTAGTAGCGGATACGGTGAGGACTAAAGGAATCCCACATTGGGAGGAAATCCTTCAGTTCTCGCCGTATTTGCTACTAGAGCACTTCCCAGAGCAATTCAACCTTACAGCTCTTCATTGCTGCTGCTCGGCACAATCAACATGGGAAATACCCCAAATACCATTCCTATTCGGGATTTTCTCGGCGTAGATAACTAAGAGGATTTCGTTTTTCGCGTTGAGTGTGTAGTCCTTCCATCGATAAAGGCTTTTACTGGTCTCTATTTCGACTTGCTCGACTGTTCTAAACGCAGACTCTCTTCTAAGCTGTCCTCCCGGGAAACAGTAAATTGTCTACTGACTACTCAAATGCTAAGTAAGTCAGTAAGTATCCTGGAGGTGGATCTTCTGCCCGAACACCGTGTCGCACTCACTGTAGCCGCCACTTTTCGGAGCGAGCAGTAATATTTGAGTTCCCAAGGGTTGACTATTGTAACTGTCGGCAAACTATGCCGCGTGCATGCGTGCGACCGTGGGAATCCGGATAAAAAGTCCGCTGCCCTCAATCCTCGTTATGGACGAAATCGACTGACCGTACTTGTATGTAGTATCACTATTACCCTTGTAACTACTTCAGTTCCATTTTTTCAGGGAAAAGGAGTGATGGAGACGTATTGGCTTCTTGGACGCACAGGTGAAGTACGTCGTCGATCGATTTCACCAGTAAAGTCACCAGTCAAGGAACAAGTACAACAGATTACCAATGTGGAACCTATCACTTCGGAAGGAATATATGAAGAATATAAGAAGAATGGTCCGAAGATCCAAGCCGAAGACGACTAGTCTCACCAGTCCAATGAATTCGGAATATTTTGTTACAAACATTACCTCGGTGGTTCTTCATAAATGTTACTGTAATTAGTTTGTATGCGTAGGTGCTTTCCATCTTTGGTAAGTTCCATGATTTAAAAGCTACAATTCCTCAAAAAGAGGCAATTTTGTGTGGAAAGGTCTCATTATCGATATACATATAGATGTTCTATCACATAAAGGATTGCTAGAGTTGACAGATTGTATTCCGTCAATTTATTGTAACTTTATCGCGATTGAAGTAATAAAATATTTTAAGCAAAACTTTTTTCGGTGATTCGGAGAAGGATGGCCCGCACGGATGCTTCTGTGAGGATTTTTCGAATTGAATAGTTGCAAAACTGATTTTTAGGTATATCTCTTTCCGCATTTCTGGGAAATCCATAACCAGTTGTAACTGTTGCTCTCAAATACTTTCATTGCTTTCATTAATTTATAGGCTTCTTTTTATTATTTATATTTGCTTATTATGTGTAGTCGTGCTACAAAGCTCTTCTTCATTCCTGTCTCGAGGACCCAAGATCGTCCACAGCTGAACAAATAAGCCTGTTTCTACGTAGACAGAATCCAGGTATGTCAGCTGCAGAAGGGGGCTCTGCGATCTTATCAAGGTTTTCTATTCGAGGGCAAAAAAGAGCAGCTTACTCCGCAGTAATGTCTTCAGTTCATAGCGCCCCGTTCCCTTAGTAAGTGGGGTGGTGGTTTTCCGAGGTTTTATATGTTATTGTAGGGCCGAACCCACTCGTTGCCCTAACATCCTTCCTTTACGGGCTCAAGTCAGAGATCAGTCGATCGACCGATCAAAACGAATCGGTGTCGTATCAAATATCGATAATGTGTCGATAATTTCAATCGTCTCAGTCTTTTCCCATTACTCGAGTTTTATCTTCTCCTATTACTTTAGCTTTACTCTTCAAATAAGTATGGGATGCCAAAAAACCGGATTTAATTCCAATTTTCAATGGCCGGTAGGAAATATGTTAGTGGAACTGGCGGGTTGTATTCCGTCAGTTTGTCTCAAGATGTCATGAAGGGAAGTATCCAATTGGTGTGGCATCGAGTACTTATATATCTGACTAGAACGCGTTTCCAGTCAAGGATTTAATTACAGGGCCAAAACAGACTGTTCAAAAGGAGAAGGACCACGATGTGCACGAACACTTGCATCAGGAGCGTATCATAGATTTCTTGATGCATGGTGGGAAGATCAAGTACGACGACATCGGGCTGACCCGGCCGAGGCTGGAAGGCAATACCCGCTGCCCAACACTACGACCTACTATTCTGCACATTCATTCTCGTCTCATCGTTTCCGTTGATGACAAATGCTCAGTTCCCACGCGTTACTGGGATGAGAAAAATTACCCACATATCCCCCAGGAACATTAGATTCAGGTAACAGTTTTCCATCTCATGCCAGGGCTCCTGAAGTAATTTATGATCAATTCCAGGGAATACTGACTCCTTCTCCCATACTTTGTATAATGTCTGGAAGAAGTGGCGACAGAAACCCGACATATTTATATTCAGTAATGATGACGATAAACATCGAATCCTGCCAAGGGTAATAATGTAAGCGGCTTCATACCCCGTCTATTGGGCTCGGCATACCCCAATACATCAACATGACTGTGACGTTAACGCTGTATTTGCTGGTTACGGTAGGTCAAGTCTTTCCCATAGTTCAGTTGTTTGCCTTTTTTTAAATGGTCCGATTTGTGGTGGTAGGAACTTTGAAGTAATCTGTGGGTGTCCGTGGTAACATTTTTCAAATTATGCCGAAAATGTGGCTTACATAGTGTCCGGGATACCAGTCATGTGAATCATATGGTAGTATGAGCACATACAGTGAGCATTTCTTTTTCAGAATCTGAGCCCTGTGATCGGACGAGTGCTAAACGTTGGTCTGCTGTTTGTCGACGACATTCCGGGCATGGAAGTTACGGTCGGCTACAAGTACGTATAGAAGCAAGCCATAATTCCTTAAATTTTAGGAGACCTGCACCTATAAGAAAAGTAAAGTACTTGAATAAAATAACAGATATGCTGAAAAAGATACAAACGGATTTTTTTTAGAATTTCTCAAAAGTTTGCCAAAATTGTCATTTTTCAAAA